AGATCGGCTCTTATTTTTCTTTTTTTTTGTTTATCATAACTCATCTTTCTGAATTTCTATTCTTTGAATTTTATTAAATAAAAAGTAGATAGTTATGTGTTAATAGTTTTATTTTCCATACTTCATTGTTCAGTGCATATTATTCATTTTAACATTGCACATTCATTATCTATTAGTTTATTCTTAGCTTTTAGTCCTTGAATTGTAAGAATTTCATTTCTTTATTTAATGTAGAATATTTTAACCATCATTAAATATTTTTCCTCTTTTTATTGCTTGTTTATTTTATGATGAATATAACTTTATATTCTTATGAACATTTTCATTTGTACTATCATCAATAACACATAGATACTTTTCGTTGATAATAAATTTATTATCATTTATACTTCTATTCAATCAACTATTACTACTATCTTGATATCTATTCTTTTATTATCATTGTTATCAAATCATTTGAATTAATAACCATCGGTAATCTTACAGTATTATGTAATATGTTTTCTAACAAAATACAACATCATAACCAGAATATAACTGGTGTATTTGAAAACCAAATCAAAAGAAATAATTTAATAAAAATACAAAAGATAAATATGATTAGTAAATACATTCAATTATGCATAAAACAAAAAGAAAGCATTGTATTTTAAACATATAAATATTTTAATGTTATAAAATATTTTTTAGAGTAATCAAAAAATGAAGAAATTGTAAAAATAAAAAATATCAAATAACAACGAAAAAAATTTAGGTATCATTTAAATATAGTGGAGAAGAAAATATTTAAGGAAATGAAAAAACACGATTTAAAAAAAATGCCATAAATGAGTAAATAATTTTTCTAAATTTAAATTCTAAATTAAAAAATAGGAAAAAAATTAATAACAATACAATTTAATGAAATAAATAACGACAAAATAAATAAACCATATCTATAAATATAACCATCACTAATATTCCACAAGTTCCAAAGGTTTTTTTAAGTTTATTTTAAATAATTACAAATGATATCTGAACTTGATTTTCATTAATGTGTGATTTTATTTCTGAACAAAACAAAGTTGATAAAGAATATAGTGAAGACTTAAAGAAATTTATTGAAGAATATGAAAAAGAATCAGTAAAGTTTTGGAATAAAAATTATTTAGGACATATGAACTATGATTTAGGCAGAGCTTATTATGACGCTTTTACACAGACAATTAAATACAATCAAAACATTGTTGCTAAAGAATCATCTCCATTTGCATCTCAATTAGAAAAAGAATATATCCAAACAATTCTTAAATTATTTAATTATGATAATGGATGGGGACATATTTCATCGTGTGGAACAATATCAAATATTGAAGCAATTTGGATAGGAAGGAACAAATCAAAAGCAAAAGGAAAGAGACCAAGATATGTTCTAGCCCCAAACGACAAACATTATTCCATAACTAAAGCATGTGATATTCTTAACCTTGAACTAAAACCACTTTCAATTGATGTCAATGTTCCACCAAATGAAATAGCATTAATTATTTGTGTTTGTGGAACAACTGAAACAGGAAGATGTGATGATATTCTTTTTTGGAAGAAATATTGTGAAGAACACGATATTCAATTACATGTTGATGCAGCTTATGGAGGATATTATATATATTGTAAGAAAAGTCAATACCTAACAGAAACATCCCGTACTATGTTAGAAAATATTAATCTTGCAGACTCTATAACAATTGACCCACATAAATTAGGATATGCACCATATAATACAAGTGTGTTATTAATTAAAGAACAAAAAGATGTTCAATACATTAATTCAACAAAAGATGTTGCCTATCTTGGTGTAACAGAATCATCATTATATACACTTGAAGGATCAAGATCTGGTGCATTTGCTGCTTCACTATACTTTGGGCATAAATATTTTCATAATAAATATCCGGAAATAATGGAATCTAATTTAATAGGGGCAAATCAATTAATGAAAAAAATTGAACAAAGTGAAGTATTTAAATTATATCCTATTCATGATATGGGATTAATTCTATTTACATCAACAAAATTACCAATGTCATATTTAACTAATATGTTCTGTGATAACAAAAATATTGAGAAGGATAGAATTCAGTTAGTAACTACTAAAATAGAAGAAACAACATATTTTAGAGTATGTATTATGGATCCCCATTTCAAAGATTATGTTAATGAATGGTTTGAAAAATTGATGAAAGAATACACTGAATATGAAAATAATTATGAAAAATATGTTCAAACAAGATTTGAGAATTTGCTTAGTATATCTGAAGAATGTGACACAAAGGAAGAACTTTTAAAAATGATTCGTTCAGGAAAAGAAATAATAGCTTATAATGGATTTGAACCATCAGGAAGAATTCACATAGCCCAAGCCATAATAACAGTTTTAAATGTAAACAAACTTGTAGAGAATGGATGCCATGTTAAACTTTATATAGCTGATTGGTTTGCACAATTGAACCATAAAATGGGAGGTGATTTAAATAAAATTAGAATAGTTGGGAAATATTTTATTGAAGTGTTTAAAGCCTGTGGTATTAATCGTGAACATGTAGAATTTGTTTGGGCATCAGAATTTATAAAAAAATCACCAAAGTATTGGGAGACAGTACTTGATATTACAACTAAAACTACATATAAAAGAGCTATAAGATGTTCACAAATTATGGGAAGAAAAGAAGAAGATAATTTATCAGTTAGTCAACTTTTATATCCTTGTATGCAGTGTGCTGATGTTTTTGAATTAGGTGTTGATGTTCCACAACTTGGAGTTGACCAGAGAAAATGTAACATGCTTGCACGTGAATATGCTGATAAAGTTGGAATAGTTAAACCAATTAATTTAGCCCACCATATGCTTATGGGTCTTAAAGGTGCTAAAGCAGGAAAGATGAGTAAGTCTATTCCTGATTCTGCAATATTTATGGAAGATGATGAAAATGAAGTTAACAGAAAGATTAGAGCTGCATTTTGTGATGATAATATTGAAGGAAATCCACTTTTTGAATATATCAAATATATTTTAATACGTTGGTTTGGTGAAATTGAAATTGAAGGGAATGTTTATAAATCAATGGATGAAATTGCTGATCACTTTAAAGATTTTGATAAAAAGCTTTTAAAAGAAACTGTTGCAATGTATGTGAACATGATCTTACAACCAGTCCGTGAACATTTTGAAAAACCTGGTATGAAAGAACTTGCTGAACAAGTTCGTAGCTTTATAGTAACTCGTTAATTCTTTTTTATGTTTTGTTTTTAATAAATTTCAAACATAACTTGTTAATTACAAATGTCAATTAATTTGATGCATTTGATTTTAATAGTCATCCTATTTGTATTAATAATAATGAAATATTTCATAACTTACAATAATGATTTATTGCTTAATGTTAATTCTTTCAGTGTTAGAAGATAAAGTGTATATTATCAAAACATAATAGAAATCAAAGGATATATTATAAATGTTGCTATATCAAGATAAGAATATAGAATTGAGTAAAAATTAGTTAGTTACTTGTTATTAGATTTTCATATATTCTTTCTTGTTCAGCAAAGACTAATAACATCACTGAGCTTGTTTAAAAAGAATAATCTTTTTGTTTAACTTCTCTTTTAAGTTTTGTAGGAGTATGATAAAAGTATTTCTTTACTTTATTTCTTCTTATTGATATCTTCTCTAACATCTTCTGATTATTCCTTCTTTTTAGCTTTTTGTTTATTTTTTGTCTTAATATTTCTTTTTTCTTATTTTATGAATGAGAGAATTGAACATTTCATTAACATCATATTACTTTTAATACTTCCTCTCTTTTCAATAATTCTCTTTTCACTTCTTCTCTTTTCAATAATTCTTCTCTTTT